CTGGTGCAACATATGGCAGTACTCCATATACATCATTTTTGCTTGATGTTTCTTGATCAACTGGGCCTGATAACCCTAGATCCACAATCATTGCTTGGTATGCGTATTCAAAATATAGAATATTACCACTGTGAAGATTATAATGTATAAGTCCTTCTTTGTGAAATGTATTTAAATTTAAGATAATACTATAAAGTATTTTAATTCTCACATCCCAATTTTCATAGTTTAATTTTTTGTAATTTTTTAAACTTTCACCAAACACATATCTCATTATTAAAAGATATTCTTTTGTGTCAGGATCTTGTGAAATGCCGTAAATATTAATAATATTATTATATAGTTCTGTAAATTTGATATAATTTTGAAGCTTTCATGGAAATTAAAAAAGAATTAATATATTTTAAAAATTATTATTGTCAGTTGATTATATTAAATTACTTACCTCTTTTAAAAACTCCTCAGAAATATTTTGTGAATTTTTTAATTTTTTTAATGCCACACACCTATTAGCCTCATATTGTCTTTTATTTACATCAATAAATCTAAAACCATTTGACCAGAAACCCCTATATACAATTGCAAAACCACCTTCACCTATTCTCTCTTCAACTGTGAGTTGGTCATAAGGAACCCATTCAAGGTAATAATAACTATTAAATCCTTTTGCTTCAAGCTGTGTATTTCTGATTGTTTCATCTAATTTTTCATTACCACTGCTAGTCCAACTTTGAGCTAACAATTTAGGATCACATGATTGGCACCACTGGTAATTAGTATTATGCCTTGCACAAACAGAACAGATTCCATATTTTTCTTTTCTTTCATTAAACTCTTTAATGGCATCTTATTAAAATAAAATTATTTAATTAGATGATGATTTGATAAAGTTTTTGGTGTTGTAAAAGTTAATTTATAATATAGTGCTTACCTCCTGGTTATTATAAAGAAATAAAAAATAAAATTATTTAATTAGATGATGTTTTAATAAAGTTTATTTTGTATTGTAAAAGTTAATTTATAATATAATACTTACGTGCTGGTTAGTATCAAGAAATAAAAAACAAATTCATTTAATTAGATGATATTTTAATAAAGTTTATTTTGTGTTGTAAAAGTTAATTTATAATATAATACTTACTGTCTATAAATGAAAAATAAATTTATTTAATTAGATGATGTTCTAATAAAATTTATTTTGTGTTGTAAAAGTTAATTTATAGTATAATACTTACATGCTGATTATTATAAAGTAATAAAAAATCAAATTACTTGATTAGATGATGTTTTAATAAAAATTGTTTTGTGTTATAATTTATAATAATACCTTTATATTCTTCTTCTTCAATTTCGTCAACAATTTCAATTTCATCAGTAATCTCAGCAATTTTTTTTTTATCTAATATATCTAATAGTGATAATATTTAAACAACTATCAATAATGAATCAATAATCAGTAATTTTAAGTAACTAATAATTTTTAATTTACCATCAAGCAAATTTCCAAAAACTCTACTAAGAGAGTTATTTAATGAAGACATGTTAAAGATATCACCTAAGTCAGTTCCAAAACTCTAATGATAAATAAATAAATAATGATATATTTAAAGTTGTTGTGACAATGCTATGTAATAAATTACGTTGATAGATTAAGTTCGATTTCAAATGTAGGTATTTGATAAAATGAGAAAATTTACCTCTTTGTTATTCATCATTTCTAAATTTCTGGTGTTTTTGCTATAAAATCCTATTTTTGCAGGAGAACCAACCATTGCCCATATGATATGAGAAACATCATTTTGATTTTCATCAAACCTATAAAAATAAATAAAAAATATTATTTTTTAATCATTAATATAAGGATAATATTATATGTATTTGATACCTTTCAATGATTATTGAAAACCCATACTGATCAAAATATTAAATACAATGATAATATCAGAACATTTTTCAGAACTTTCATTAAAAATGGTTCCATAAATTAATTTGTGATATTTATCACTTTTCAAAGGAGTTTTAAAAACAACTCTATAATTTTTTTTATTTTATCTTCAATTTTAATTGAATCCATCATTAATGTTTGAATCACCATTTTGGTTTTCCATTGAGGCATTCTTTTAATATTGCCATGGACTCTTGCTAAAAGACCATTGTTTATCAGATGATTTCTAGTATTTTCGAAATAAGTTCTGCCAATTCCCAACATATTGAGATAAGTTTCTTGACAAAGAAGTGTATTGTGATCTCAGTGATAGAAAGTTCTTTTATTAGATCT